TTGTTGGCGTAAATTGGAGATCGAGTATGGGAAGCCCATGGTGATGACTGCATCCAGGGAGCCAATATCAACGCCCAATTCCAGAGCGTTGGTAGCCACGATTCCCATCAATTTCCCCTCGAACATTTCCTTTTCGATTTGGCGTCGATCTTGAGGGCTATATCCGCCTCGGTAGCCCATCACTAGCTTGCCAATCTCTGTTCGTTCGAGTCTACCAAACTCGGCGTGCACGCCTTGTAAGAGAATTTCACATAGCTTTCTGATTCGACAGAAGGCAATGACTCTCACGCCCCTAAGGATCAGCTGGCAAAATAGCCTCGCAGTCTCAGTGACAGTGTCGGCGCGCCCAGAGGTAGGATCTTTGGGGTCTTTGAATGGCGTATTCCAACAAACAAACTCCTTACGGCCAGAGGGAGATCCATCGAAATCGATGAGTTTCACATCCTGCACCCCAAAGATAGACTTCATGTGATCCTCCGGGTTTGCAACAGTAGCAGAGCAAGATATGAACTTGACATGACGATTACCAACCGCAGCACATATCCTGCGAAGACGGCGCATGATAAAAGCGACATGAGATCCAAATAAGCCATTGTAGACGTGCAGTTCGTCGACAACGACAAACTTCAGATTCTTTAAAAAGGTGCGCCAGGAACTCTCCTGTGGCAAAATTGTAATATGAAGCATGTCAGGATTGGTGAAAATTATGCGTGCCTCGTCACGAATCAAGTTCCGGCTCCCCATTGGCGTGTCCCCGTCAAAGGTTTCAACCATTGTGTGTTGCAGCCCGTTCATATACTGAAGTAGATCCATCATGCTGCGGCGTTGATCTTGTGCCAGAGCTTTAGTGGGGAATATATACATTCCCCTACTCTCCGGATCTTTTTCTAGTTCGTGCAGCATGGGGACTTGGTAGATGAGGGACTTTCCGGAGCTCGTCGACGTCGACACAATCACATTGTGGCCCTCATACAGGTGGTTAATTGCCTCTGTTTGGTGAGCATACATTTGGGTAATTCCCTTTGTGTTATACAGAGCATTGACAAGGTCCTGTGAGAGCTGGAATGTCAAATCTCCGTAGACAGCAGACTGGGCTTCGAACACGCGATGGCCTTCCGGCACAATTTGTGCATGATACAAATCCATTTCCCGAATCTCTGCAATTATTTCCTCAATGGACTTTCGCTCCTTGGGAATTGTTGCCGGCGGCTTCTCTGCAAGAGGAGTGGGCAGGAAAGCGTTCTTCTTTTCTTCAAGAGAAATCACTGGATCGAGATTCATGTCCTCACAATGAACCAAAAACGCATTCAAAGCATCTAAAAACTTTAAATTTCGTTTTTCAATCAAAGCCAGCATCTGTTTTTGGCTGTAGACGGGCATTTTCAGATCGTCGTCTCTCATGTGACGCATAGGTTTCATAGGTTCCCCGGTTTTCGGGTTCAGAACTTCCCCCTTCAGATCGCCGTCCATAAACTCAAATAGCAGAACTTGCTTTGTGTCGTCTGTATAGTGAAGATCACTGCTTCTGGCATCTTCACGTCTGTCCATATCTGCCGAAAATGCCAGGGTACGCTTGTGTAACCCATATTGAGTAATCTCTTCATCTCCAACGGTCATTACTTCCAGCTTGGCTTCGTCCACATATTCGAAAAGGACCGCTCCGGGAATTATGACCTTCACACGTGCGACATCTTCAACCGTGAGTTCTCGCCCCTGACCAAGTTGAGCTTGTACTGCTTTTTTTATGTTCTCGAATGTGGTGGCAAAGTGCTTTCGTGTGGAGCAAAACGTGTACACGAGATTCAAGGCGCGATGGGTTTGCGAGAGGCGCTTAAAGGCGTCTGGTAATGGCGTAGATGGAGTTCGTTTCGAGGGCTTCGAGGTAACTTTCTTCCCTTTACCCGTCTTTTTGGCGGCTGTGGTTTTGATAGATCCGCCTGTCTGTACATCAGATTCATTGGGGGGAGGATCGACCGTGGTCGAGGGTGTCTGATCGGCAGGGTCTTGGGGGGACGCGTTCAAGGGTAAGGGCACATCGGACTCAAGGCCGCGATCGCTTTCATAACTTCGCTTCCGCTTTAATGATGAAACTTCCAGTGGTATTGAGAAGGAGCCTGCCATGTCGAAGCTCCATATTGCTGTATGTTGGAGCTGAAGTTGATAAAAGTCCTGGTTGACGGGAAACGCGAAATCACGTGCATTGAAATCGCCTGAAATGGCAGCCGTTCCACGGTTCTAAAATTGGCCAATGTTTAGGTCTACCTCGCTCGTTTTTATATCACCACTTCCCAATCTCTCTGACTAGCGGTCAAATCCAAAATAATTCTTTTTCTTGTACGGTGCTAAAGATAAACCTGCCCTCAGGCTAGGCCTGCCTCAATCACGCTTTCCGCAACGCCTGGATAGGTGTAGATATTGACCACTTTCAATCCAACTTGGGCCAGGATATCTCTCCAATCAGCCTCCGTTCTTACCCTCACAGCAAAATGTGCCAACATCATCATATCCATATTGGTCGCAGCGAGTGTCGGCTTTTCTTCATTAATCACAATCTCGTTGAACAAGACCCGTGAATAATTTTTCTTCAAAGCAGGCACAAGATTCTTCAGGATCTTGATGCCATCTTCATCGCTCCAATCGTGGAGAATAGAATGGAGAGAGTATGCGCGTGCACCCTTGATAGGCTGCGGCGTAAAAAAGTCGTGAGCTTGCACTTCAAAAGCTCGCTCCATGCCATCAGCTCTCACACCTGCAATGACAGGCTCTCGATCCTGGAGCACAATCCTACCCGAGCAAGGGCTATAATGTGCAGCAAAGGTAGCCACATCATGGCCCTTTCCGCCACCAATATCGACGAGGAGAACGTCGCTAATAGAAGCATCGAAACCCGTGGTTAATCGCTCAGCCACGGGGTAGAAGTCATGCCAATCTGGCTTACCCGCACGGTACGCGCTCATAAAGGAGTCGAAATGCTCTTGGTGTGGTGGTGTTTCAAGAAGCCATTTAAAGAACGGAAGGTTGGTTTTGTGCGCCTCTTGAAACGGACCGTCAGTTCCACCCAGAGTAGGGGAACTATATTCGGACTTCTTGAAGTATTCCGGGAACCCATTAAATGAAGGACGCGCCACATCGTAGCAGAAAATGATGCTGGATTGATAGTTTTCCGCTGCGAGACTGTTGCTCAGCTTTGTGGCATAGAAGGCTCCGTCATGGAATGTCGCAAGGTTCATTGCTACTAGATGTCTCGTCAGGCGTTGTAGGAGAATATTGTCGACCCGAGTCTTCTGGGAAAAGGCTGATGGGGTGAGCCCTGTATCTCCCGCATCCTTGAGGCTTTGGAAAAGCTTCACATCGACAGCGAGACGGATGATGGCGCTTTGAGCCGGCTATCGTAAACTCCAATTAGCCTGGTGAGTAAAATAAGCTTCCAACGATGTTGCAGCTTCTCACCTCTGCCCAGAATGTGCGCTGGATGAACTCGCTTGGGATTTCCAATGCTGTAATCAGCGCGCGGCTTTGGTCAATCAGACTTTCTCTTGAGCCGGCTTCGTTCTTTTCGAATGCTGCGCGTGAATTGGCAATTCCATCCAGGATTGAGGAGACAGATGGTAAGGCCATGATGATATTTGGCGTTGACAGTAAATCAAAAGTATAGAGGCTGTCTGTTAAAGAGGAAATAATGCATGTTAGAAGACCTACTTGCCCCTCTTCCTCCCCTATTCTTGTCTTTGTCTCCCAGAATTAGTCTAAGGCTAGCTGCTAGTACGTGGTGGACGACACGGATGAACTTATGAGCCATTATCTGCCCGTGGAGCCTCTAATGCGGCCTTTGACCAACCAGGTCTTAGACTTATATGGGAAATGATACGGCCATTTTACCACTAGATCTCAACAAAAACTAGGATACGGAGTACCTACCTGGTTATAGCGTAGTGGGGCCATATCTATCCTTATCCCAATTTGACAACTCACCTTGGCGTTGGCGGGTGCTCGTTCGGAGTTGAACCGAGATAATAATAACAGGCCGTTCTCATATCACTAGATCTGGAGAGTATGTTGGGAGCTAATCACTCATATTAAGTCTCTTCAAAAAACTAGCCTGGCGCATACTGGCGCCTGAAAGAATCTCTCCTCCTAGTTATGTACACAATCGGAATATAAGCTAAGAGGCGCTATGAGCTAAATCGTTTAGCTCGCCGAGGGGATAGGTTTCACCCGTACATTTAGTTAAGGAAATGATCTACGTACTTCGTCCGGAGCAAACAGTTGAGCCGTGCCTAAAGTACCTAAAACCTAGAACTTCAGGGGATTATGTCTCTTCGTTCACCATTTCCCTACTATTCCTCAACACGTATGAAATAAGATCCTCATGACTATAAAAATGATATAAATAGGTACAACAGAGGCAGAGATAATAGGGGTACGCACGGTCACCCGGTGCCTTAACCCGCCATGGAGTAGTTACTCCGTAGTAGCCTCAATGGCCGACAACATTCCACTTTGTACCACTTGGATATCTTCAATGCTATGAAATATTTGTAGAAGAAATGTCCATATCTCCTCAAGACTGTCCCGGATCACCAAAAGTGATGAGTAAAATCCAAGTATAACCTTCCTGGCAAAAAGTATCTTGTTGGGTGACGTTGATGTTGAGTAAACTTGGCACATTTGAACAGATTTTTTCCTAAAGCTCGCCTCCCTATTTTTATTTGATTCGTCATCGTCGCTCATGGGCCCATAAGTATATTGTACATGGGTGTTCAAGATATGAACAAGCGCATTATGGAATACTAGTCGATACACCATACCGGCTAGTACCACAATATAGGCATAGGTCAAAAATTATTCGTGACTTTCTTTCAAGATTCAAACTATTTGCACGAGTTTGCTTCCCGCAATAATTGTTTTCAACTGCCTTTCAGTCTAGAAACGCGCTGTTTGGGGGTTTCTTCTCGATCGATTCCTATGCATCGAATGTATAATGGACTAACCCTTTGACCATGGCCTCCTTCAACACAAATGTTGATCATAGTGAAAACCGAGCAACGAATATGAATGTCATTGGTTGGTTCTTCACCGGCGTTGCAATCGCAGCAGTTTCCTTGAAGCTATTTGCCCGAATTGGTAGCAAGCGGTTTGGCTGGGATGATTTTTTGATTTTTTTATCGATGGTGGGGAGCACTCCCAGATCTCCCTAGACAAGACTGACACTGTGGAAATTTTTATGTAGGCTCTCAGCATCATTGCCATGGCACTCGTTTCTTATTCGGCCACTCTTGGTCTAGGTCGGCACACTGCAACTGTAGTTGCTGAATATGGCATTGAGAGATACGAAAAATCAGCCTACTGGCAGATTATTGGATTTCCTTTCAACATTGGTATGTTTACCCACTCAATGGAGAAAATCAAGTACTAAAACCGAGACCTATAGGAGCGTTTAGCTTCCCCAATATCTCGATTGCCATCCTGATCGTTCAGCTGCTTGACCCCAACCCACTTCGTGCAAATCTCTTATACGCCATGGTCATTTTCCAGGTTATACTGGCCATGATATACGTTTTCATTGTCTTTTTTCAATGCAAACCCACAGCAAAAATGTGGAACTCTTCCATTGAGGGCACATGTTGGAGCTCGGATATTTTCAACGGTTTTTCGTATTTGGTCAGCGCATATACAACTATGACGGATATTGTTTTGGCTATTGTACTAATTTCTGCATTCTGGAAACTGCAAATGCCGTTTTTGACAAGACTGAGTGTCTGCATTATGATAGGATTGACACTGCTTTCCGCGGTCGTTACGATTATTAAAGCAACATATTTGAACTTATTTACCGACCACACTGATCCTCGTTAGTGGACCACCCTAGTTTTGTTATGTAGCTAACAGCTAACATCTAATAGTTTTCAAGGTGGTGCCATTGGTTCTTTGGGGAGTGTAAGTATTACCCACTGTTTACCAAGCCTGTGCTAACTTGCAGCTTAGGATTGAGCAAAATGTTGTCATTGTCGCCGCTTGTATCCCGACACTCCGCCCTCTATTCCGCAAGGCATTCGAGTCTACCACTGGATCCTCTGGTGAAGCCACTTCACAGAGAGGAACGCGCTCCGGCTTCAAACTCGCATACAGTTCCATACAATCTCTCTCGAAGCGGACATTATCTGTGACGGAATTACCTCTTAAGGACAGGCAGCAATCCTATGATATCGAGAGTAGTAGTAGCCAATTTGGCATATGGCGGACGAGAGAGGTAATGGTGGAAAGTGACGACGATAGGTCTTTCGAACGCGGCGTTGGAAGGACAGATAATTCATTTAGGGGATTGTCACAGGAACCTTCCCCCCTTAGCTAATTCGATCCCACTACTCCGTACTAGTATATGCATTCTAGTTTACATGGTGAAACAAAACATGCATTTTGATGAGAAAAATTCGTATAATCTACCTGATTACTATAGGATTTAGCCCTTGATGGTAAAGCGGTTGATGAAGCAGTTGATGATAGGACAAAAGTTGACTTAATTTGTTAGTGGTTTACATACAATTATATTATCCCAGTTGTTTTATCGATAACTCCAACATGTTCGCGGGGACAGGTTCAAGGAATGATCCGATCGATTTGAATCCAAGTCCTAAAACCAGTCAATCGTGCAGTGAGAATTCGAGGCCGTCGACAACAGTATATTCTTCCACAGAAACTGGAATAACTTCGCTAGATAACGAATCTGGTAGAACACGGTATGATGCGTCTTCTTCTTCTACAGATAAGAGAAATGTTGAAGTTGAGTATTTAACCTTACTTCCGGTCAACAGCTCTATCATTGATAGTCTCTTAGCTTCTTTTGAAGTTGAAAATAGCCCGATATCATCTTCGCGTCCAGTCGATCATATTGTTAATTAGCCCATTGACATTAACTCCATTACCACATTTGGAGTCGGATCGACTGGTACCTCTGGGCTCACCTTCTTTATCATATTCAGCGTCGACTTCACCCCCACTTACTTCGACTGTTGTATCTATAAGGATTGAAATTCCGATCCCATCTCGACCGCCCTATGATCCGTCAGCACGTTTATATCTAGTGTGTATTCGACAATGGGTAAGGATGCCACTAGATGATACTGATTGTATATGATTTTGAACCTTTATATCTGATCTAGAACCTTTTATTCTATCAGACTGGTCATATGGCGAAGAGATAGTAGTTATCGCAGTTTCTATCGAAGAATATCATCTAGTCGACGGCCTGGAATTTTCACTGCATAATTGACTGGTTTCAGGACTTGGGTCCAAATCGATCGGATCATTCTTCGAACCTATTCCCGCGAATATCTTAGAGTTATTAATAGGATAGCTAATTGGTATATGAACCATAAAACATAGATAAACTGGGAGAATATCGAAAAGAATTAAATAGTAAAGTAGTATGAAAGTAATTTTATATGCATTGAAATGTATAGAAATCATTCTGACGTGAATTCCGGCATGTTCGATTAAGTGAGTAAACATTTTTGATGGGGTGGCCGCCTTCGCGGAAATTGCAGGCAGAAAGCTAACCGCCATTATATATAGCATGTTGATTGGGTATGAGTTATAGATAGTCTTGTCTAAGCCTGGTTTACAGATTTATGTTATGGATGTTATGGACTTATGGAATCTTATGGAATTATGGATTATCTTATGGATTGTAGGTACCTGATATGGGGAGTTTGACATGAAAGCGGTGTAAAAATTGAAAGGCGGTATAGGCCTCGATAAGCAGAATCAGGTGCCGAGGCAGAATGTATGCCCAGTTAGGAAGGCGGTATTTGAATTTCAGTCAGGGCCCTTATTTTACTACACTCATCTTTATCATCACCCAACCAACTACAAATCTATTCTTTCCTGCCACAAGAACCAAATATGATTCGGCATCCACGCTCGGCCCAGCCTGACCCCATAACCGTCGAAATCGGCCAAGTACTTGCACCCCTGGCTGTCTTTCCATGGGGACCGCTTGCAATGCACTACTTGGGTGTTCCTATTGTAATAGGTGTTAGTACGGTTATCACTTCTTGGTATTCTAGCGTCTACTAATCAAGTCTTATAGGTTGCTATGATCGCCGTTCGTGATGAGGACTATCAGACAGCATGCCAGAAGCTAAAGCACCTGGGATTCTATGAAATAATTCCTGACCGCACGATTCTCCCCGAGATATTGGCAGCGATCCCAGATCCAGATCAAGCAATTGAAGAGGTTGCGAAGGAGTATCAACGTCTGGATAACTCAACTATTACGTTCGAATATCCACCCAATCACGACCTTTCTGGGAGTCTACAGTTGACTTTGGCCCCAAACTCCTTCACGAATCTTCAGGTACCGGATATGACCGGCAACGTGCAGCAAGACCCTGTCTCTACCACGGGCTACGACATCTACGGCAATATATGTCACCCACTTGAAGAGGCGTTGGTTGAAAGTTACGTCAAGAGCGTTATTGACGATGAGAATGATCAGAATGAGTTTTCTGGTTGGGGAGATAGACTAAGCACCTGGGTGGCTATGATGTGTGGATATCTTGAGGTCAATAACGATATCCTCGATAGATGCTCGGATGAGCGAGCAGTGGAATGGTTTAGTGTGACCTACGGTCGGATACACGAGGAAAGGTTCGGTCCCTTGGATAGACGTGTCTCAAAGCGACTAGGTTCCGGAAGGGAAATGCCAGTGGATATGAGGGGCAACCTGTTGCCCACGTAAAGTCGGGCATTTTCTGTATCATACGGTGTGGCGAAGCAGATCAAAGCAGGTCATTTACATTTTATCAAAGTCTACACAATTAGAAAGCTTTCATGAAATCGTCTGTTGATGCGAATAGGCCGAGATAACTATAGTCCGAACCCAAGACCTCCATATCAAAATGAAATGAGAGGGCCTAAAAGCAGGCAAGTAGCGCTAATGTTTGACGTAATGAAAAGCGAAGAAGAAGAAAGAAGAAGCTCAAGTGCAACCGCAAAAACCCCATGTCTAGCAATAACTGAAGTATGTGGCCGAAATCAGGAAGGGAGACATTCTCTAGAGAAAATGAATATTAGTAAAATTGACTTTATAGGAAATGAAAATAGGTTGAGTCTTACCAATTACTGAAGACTGAATTGCATTTGATGCTTCGGCGAAGGCTGCTGTGGAGACGGGGGCGTTCCCTCAGAAGGCTTGCTAAGGCAAGTTGCAATTGCGCGTCTTGGTCAAAATTGAGTTCTGGTCTGTTGGGTACACAATATCTAACCAACCGCGCAATGTCTTCGATATCGGTCAAATGCTTTGGACCCTGTCGCTGGTACTGGGATAAGATCTTCTCTCGCGTAAGCCATTCAGCTCCGAAGATCTTCACGGGATATCCGTTGATAGTCCTGGTCACACGTGTCGCCGTCTGAATATTATACTGCGGCCTTTGTGGCCAGCTAGCGTGATCGAAAACCTCCAACTCGATAAGCTGAATGGTGCCGCTTGGGGAACGTAGTCTGAATGCCGGGATCACATGTCCGAATTGGTTGACCGGTCCAAAATCAGCAGGGAAAGCGTTCAGCAATCGCTGTGTAAGAAGATCTGCAGTTATCCGCCGGCTGGGATGTGGTGCCATGAAACATACCGCGGCACCTCCCATGAGCGCGTAGTCAATTTGCAATAGATCTAGACATTGGGCAATGCGGGAGACGACGGTTTCTAACTGGGGTAGAAGTAGGCCACGCATTCTTCAATCGTTCTCTAATATCACGATGGTCAGATTTGGAGTGGGAGAGTGAGTGTGATTTCTCGTACCTCTGCGTGTGCGGAGAGTCGCTGTGGGACTAGAGGTTTTATGAGTAAAGAAACTGATGCAATGAGATGTGCGCAGAGAAAAGGTAAGAGAAAGGAAGAGCAGATGAGCAAAAAAGCAGGATATGAGAAGAGCAGGGGAGCGGAGGAGCGGAGGAGCGAAGAAACTGATCTAATGAGATGTGCACAGAGAGGAAGGTGAAGGGAGATGAAGAGAGAGGGAGAGAGGAAGAGCAGAAGAGCAAGCCCGGTGAGGAGCAGGCAGGAAGGCTGCCTCAACAACTCCTCGTCTAGGTAGCGCAACCCTTCCACATATGATTTTAGAGAGGTCATAGTAAGAGGGATGTCAAGAATACAGCGGGGCTCTGAAGCAAAGTAAATTACCTCCCTCTCACCTCAGTTATCTCTCACTTCAGTTACCTCTTATACTTGAGAATAAGTTTCTAGGTATGGATACTATAATTTCTATCATTCTACTTGTCTAATCAACATGAATCTACTATCAACTTACGGATGTTCACTTCTCACTAGGTATGGACTTGCCGCAATCAACATCGCATTGGCGGATATTATTATCTGTCGAACTAGGAATATGGCCCCCCTAGGCCTTAAACAGGAAGCTTGGTTTTTGCTATGGTCTAGTTGTAAAATATGCTGTATATTTTCCATCATTATCTCTAAGCAGTGTCATCGCCGTGAGAGGCAATCTTTTGCTATGGAAGAAAAAGATAGGCGAAAAAAGGAAGACGGGAGGGTTCATCTCGATTCTCAACTATAAGAGAGACAGCACGTAGCTGGGTCTGTGATATTCCTGAAGGAATTTCATTTGAGGCCAAAGGATATTCAAGGTTTCTTCCGATCCACTTCGGCCCGCTTAGAGGAACATGTCCCGGCGCTATTTCATCTACTAAAGTGGGGTCTAAATCCTATGATGTCGAGAGTAGTAGTAGCCAGTCAGGCATATGGCGGACGAGAGAGGTAATAATGGAGAGTGACGACGATAGATGCGTTGGAAGGTCACAATTCATTTAAGATCCAAACTTTCTAGCGAAGACTACAGAGTAAACCACCTAGAAAAATGGAGATAATCAAATTTGTATAGCGCCAAAAGCTTCAGGTTCATGGGGTCATCGGGCCTGGTTATTCCGTGCCGGCTGTAAATCGATGCATAAAAGCGGTTAAATTCAGGCCAAATTTCAGGCATTAAAGCCCTAATACGGTGACAACGACCCCTCTCGCTATGTTATATTGTACTTTACGACTAGAAATATATTCCAGCTACTTGTTTAGAGCGAAATATTTGCAATTCGTCATCAGGTAAACATAATTCAGGTTTCGCGACATCGGGAAACCTGCACCAGGCATATCTCATCAGTATATCGGTCCGAGTCTGCTGTCTGGGACAACTCCAAGCTGGAGGGCGACTTGGCCCCTTTTGTGCTATCTCCAAGTTGCGAGAATGCAGGCTCTTTGGTATGGTGTGGAGTACTGCTATACCTTGAACGAGGTTCTTTTGAGGCCGAACTACCGACGAATTTCCGGCCTAGGATTCTGGAAAGCAAAGGCCAAATGGAAGGAAGGCAGGCAGCAATTATGATAACGCCACTTTCGAGAATTGTCCAAATCCCAAGCTTGACAGAAGTCCCTATCGATATTAGCTGAGGTTGAGCGTGGGGACCTTGTATGACATACAGGTGGGATCTGTAAGAGCACTTTCTTGGAAAAAGATAGTCATGCGAAGAATACTCGCGACGGTTCCCCTATCAGCAGTGTCAGAATCCCTCCAAGCAGAAGGTCATTGTGAAAACTCACAAACTTCCCAGAAGGAAGACGCCGGTTAAGGCTACTTTCTGGCCAATCCGGGTGTGAAGATTCCAGACATACGGCAGCGGCATCACCAAGATCAAAACATCGGTCATGATATTAGGAAGCGAAACATAACGGTAGAAAGCCTCTTGGTTGAAGCATGAGCCTCCAGCAATTGTTCTATCCCATGTGTATGCGATTGGCGAACATTGAAAAATCGCCGCGAGCAAAACTCCAATTCCATGACCTAGCACAATTGCACCCACAATATAGGCAAATATTCGAAACATGCGGACGGGAAATATGCGCACGTAGAAGAGGAGGATCGAAACCTTAACGGGCGCTATAGTGAAAGGAAAATCGAGGATTTGGTTTGCGTAGAGACCCTGAATAAAACCAATCAGACATTGCTGAGAGCCTCTCAAGTCAAATTAGAACAAACTTTTTGTAAGATAACCAATTTTGAAGGAGTTCGCGCGACATATTCGAGGTGATAACCAACACCTCCTCGCTTGACCACTGTACATCGTGATATCAGTATCCGATCGCCAATATACTGGGGGAAGGTGCCGTACGATAGATATAGAGTGCCGATTGTGCTAAACTAGCAATCTGTTTTCATGTAAGCATTGCACAGGTTCACGAGTTTCTGAATATAGGTGGTGATTCATACCAACGCTGGGATCATTAAATAGTCATCGATTCCGTTTGCTACTCGCTGTATATGTCTAGTGTAAAAACGGGCCCCGACGATAATGATTTGAATGGCAGCAATAGCAATTGAGACACCAATGAGTTGCTGTCCACAATATGCGACAGTGCTAGTACTATCTGCCATTGTTGATCAAGCGTTCAACATGTCGCTTGCGAGTATTCAAGGCATTGCTTGAGCAATTGGCCAGGTCAAATTTTTTTTCACGGAGAACTCACACTTACCCCAGAGCAAAATAACTCGGCCAATATAAGTTGGCCTTGCTTACTATATGGTCATATACTTGGCCTCGAGTTAGTGGGTTGATTAGGGATTTATATTAAGGTGTCATCATAATAATTGGGGCCAAAACAGGTTACGTGTTGATTTCTAGAACTGTAACAAATTAACAATCCTGTAAAGCGAGATGCGCTCCTTGAATTTTGGGAAAGTGATATGCGCTCCTTGAATTTTGGGAAAGTGATATATGCTTCGCCCTTTGACTCTACCATCACAAATCTTGAAAGCATTTTTGATTTCACAATGGCATTCGCATCGGAGAACCCATCGCGCTACCGAGAGCCTAGAACACGGCCACTTAACACTTCCACTATGTTTAGGTTTCAACTATTCCTATCACATCGTTAATTATGCTATTGTGCTCCATATTGCTAACAATGCTGCTTCTAAGAGGCCGAGCACTCAAAATCCTTTACAACATATCTTCCAACTCCACCGTGAAACCTGATTGAAACTTGTTTAAGGAACGAGCATAGCTCGACAATAACCAGACTGGCTAGTTAGAAGCCTCTTATCAGAGTTGTCCATAGACGGCAGTATATTGTAGGCAATAAATGCAAATTCAATTTCTCGTATAAAGCAATCGGAGCATAAATAATCCCAGATCTCGGCTACCTTAGTTCATAGAGTGGACCTGCTTGCTACACGGTTCACACAACGGGATCTCAAGGCCCATATTTGCCGGAGAGCCCGCCCCGTGTACGGAGTATGTAGCGTTTATGTACTCCACGGAATAACTTGAATGCTCTAATACACCCTTTCGGGGAATTCTAGAATTTCTACGACACTGCAAGAAAATCCATCATGACCCAGGATATGGACACATCTCTCTCGGCACAGATCGCTGCTTTGACCGATAGCGCGCAGACTCGAGGCCTCGATGAACAAGCACGTTCAGAAGGCCTCAATGCTGCTCGGCGTTTGGTAGCTGCTTTGGAGTCACCCGTTGAGAGAATTATTCAGGATGTAGTAATGGTATGTTCTATGTCCGAGACTTCAAATTTCACAGCCCCTCATTGCAGTCTTACGATGTGGCTTTTGAATTAACTAATTCTGAATTTACAGCACTCCCCAGCTTTGATGGCTATTCGTATGGGTGTTCAACTGGGGATTTTTACTCAGATCAGCCAAAAGCCAGAATGCGGCGCTTCATCTCCGGAGATTGCAGAGAACTCCGGTGCAAGCTTGGTTCTTGTTGGTAAGATTGGCCCATCCGACCGTCGTTTATCAATGAATATCTGCCATTCCCCTACATTAACCCTAACATCATCATATTCAGCATGAAATTATACTTGCAATAGACTAAATATCTAATATAAATTCTCTCAAGACCAGATTGCCCGGCTTCTCGCCGCGACGGGATATATCAAGCAAGATGGAGTACAACACTTCAAGCCCTCGCCTCTTACTATGGTGATGGCAGACCCAGTCATGGAAGCAACCACTCGAGCCTGGTCAGTGCAGTTTTTTTTCATCTACTCCTAATCGGCTGAAGCTTGTATTGACAATACGTAGCTTTGAGATCGGCAACCTTTGCACTTCCAAAGCACCAGAGTTCTTCCGCAAAAACAATAATCAATTCCCTAGCTCTGCCAAGGACACACCTTTTCAACTAGGATTTAACACCGATATGAACTATTTCGAGTGGCTGGGCCACAATCCCGATCTGGCCAAGGATTTCCAGCAATGGATGACACTAAAGCAGAAAACTACCCTTAACTGGGTTGACTGGTTTGACATTCAACAATCAATCATTGATGGCTCCAGTGGCAAGCCTGAGGATGTCCTTCTCGTTGATGTTGGAGGTGGCGAAGGGCATTATTTGCGGCAATTCCGAGAGAAATTCCCCGAAACACCTGGCCGTTTGATCCTACAAGATCTGCCGCAGGTGGTTTCGACCGTTGAGAATCTCCCGGAGGGTATAGAATTGACGCCGCACGACTTTTTCACTCTTCAACCAGTCAAGGGTGTGTAACGCTAAAATCGCATACTGTGCTTGTGCTAATGAATGTCAAATAGGCGCGCGGGCATACTTCATGCACTGGATTCTTCATGACTGGTCGGACGAGCACTGCCGATCCATTCTGGCTAATATTGTCGATGTTATGGAGCCTGGTTACTCTCGTCTGATCATACAC